AAAAGATAGTGTTGAACACAGAGAGAGAATTTTCAACCAGTGCAAAACAGGTGTTTTCAGGCCTTCTTTTTACAAGGAGGGATTTTGGATGTAGAATGTGCGGACGAATCTTGCATCGTCCGGACATATGCACAGGCTTCAGTGGCAGATGCGAAGGATCGAGATATGCCATCAATTGACAGATGTCATGATAGGCCTTCCTTTGTGTGGAAAGGATTGCAGAGTAGTCTGTGAATAACAGGAGCTTATGGCCTCCAGCGATCAGATGATGTTGGGATTGATAAGCTAGGAGGGGATGGCACATCGATCAGCGAAGTCCAGGTAGCAGACAATGACAGGTCGGCTTCTGCTGATCCCTGGGTGGGGCCAAGCCTGCGTCCCCTCTCCACCTTACAAGGAGTAGTAAGGCCCATTGCTTGTGGTATAATGTGAGAGCAAAAATTCTGCAGCTGCCCAGAAAGTACTGAATCCGGCAGGCCAATTATGATGGTTGTTGCTTCTGTCTATTGTCAAGATAGTCTACCTTGTCCAAAAGGTAATAGACCTGTTTATTAAATTCTTCATGAGATGCCTGAAAGGCCATGTACGTGGTTCTCCAAATCCCCCACACGCTGTTCAGCCGTTTGTATGTGGGTAGCATGAGCCTCTAAAGATCAGTTTGCCCATGTGTTGCTAAATGGAATCCGCAATAATATTAGCCAAATCAGATTTCAAGTGGGAGGCTACAGCAGATGCTAGTTGCTCGTAGTCCACATCTCTTTCAGTATGTGCAGGGGGTGGCTCACCCATCTTGTCAAGGTGCATGATGTGCTCAGTCCGGTCCTCCATGTTGGGAGTGGCGAGTGAGACGTCAGTATTCGTCAAGCTCCGTTTGGGAGCGGGACACGAACTTGTCCATCACCCACAGAGCAGTCCCGAGGTATGTGCCGTGATATGGGGCCGGGGGAGAGCAGGTACAGGCCGCGTTCTGCTACTCCGTTGGGCGCTGGAACCGGAATTCAGTATATTTTTTTAATAACCTAGCGAGATATGCCCCCGCTTTATTATGTAAGGTGTAAGAGTCCGCCTTCAGTTTTTCATGTTGGTGCAGTAGTAGCAAAAGAAGTTGCTGTCTAAGATTTAAAAGTTGAGAAGCTAAACGATGTTACAGGTGGTGTCTATTACTTTGCTTTATGACCTGAATCTCGTGTAGTAATTGATCAAACTGTTGATCTTTTTCTTTTTAACCCAAGCACCAATTTTTATAAATAGCCCCCTAATGTATGCCTTATACGTGTTCCATATTGATTGGTTCATATTGATTGTTTGATTATTCACGTATTGATCACACAATGAGATAGAAGATTCCGGTATTTATATAGATGTTTGTGTTTTTTGTGATTTTAACACTTTATTTTTTATTCGGGAATCCACATTCACTTAGATCAAGCGCAACTTACTTACCATATTGGGTATCTGGAGAAGCATCCGGAGTATTTGGGTGAGTAAGAGTACTCACCCAAATGCTTGGTACTAGTATTGGTATCTGTGCATCCCTAGTAATTATGTGCATGAGACATGAAAGAGTAACTGGCGCTGGCACTTCCATATGTCAAGCAGGACAAATCTATAAAGTAACTTACCAATTGTTGTCAATGAACGTTTGTTATAGCTAGTAGTGTCTAAATCAGCATAAGTAGCATTAAAATCCCCTCCTAGCAATAGTACCCCGGTGGTGTGTTTGGTAAAAAGTTTCATAACGTTTTTTTAAAAATCTGACCTGCTTCACATTTGTAAAATAGGCATTGACAAGGGTATACTTGATATCACAAATGACAATAGGATATCTACCACAGGGTCAGTAAAACATTCTGTAAGTTGAGAAGGTACATCAGCATTCATAGCTATTAAAACGGAACTCCTGCATGTTTTTTGGGAGAGGATGCCATATAAATAGAGGGATAATTCTGTAAGGAAAATTGAGGATTTTTACCATGTGCAAAATGTGTTTCTTGTACAAAGAGGATGTCCGCTTTCTGCTGCTTTGCCTCCTTCAATAAGGCCAATTTCTTGAAAGGACTATTCAGCCCTTTTGCGTTGATGGAGACTTGGTTAGTAGGCTTAGAAGTGAAAGGATGCTTTAAAAGAGAACTTTGGGGTAAGTGTTTTTCCCCATAGTTCTTTTTAGGGTCGCAGGAGGACATCTACTAACCTCCTCCCATGACCCAAAGCTCAGTATATCACGGGCTATTGCCTGCGATATACTGAGAGCGCTGCAGCCGGGACGGATCCCAACAATTCTGTTGAGATCCACCCAGCTGCGTGAGTGACAGCTGGCTCTGCCTATCTAGAGGCAGAGCCAGCTGTGCTTGCCCCCTCCCCCGTTCGTTCCTCCACTCAGCGCAGGAGGATCAGAGAGGGGAAGGGGGGAAATCTCTGTGGGGAGCGGTGACTGACAGTCACCACTCACTGCAGGGAGATGATTGGGAAGTGCGCGGATCGGCAGCATGTTTTTTGCTCACTTCCCGATTTGATGGAACCGACCTGTGACAGCTTCTTTGTTACACCTCGGCTCTAACTGGAGATGAGTGGAAATCACTCACCTCATTTTTCTCCTTTAATGGTGGCTGTATCAATCGTAAAATTAAGGCAGTAGGTATAGATGGTAATCAGAGACCAGAAACATCCCGGATATAGTCCCGAAAGACCGCTCCTATCTTGCAACAAATGACTGGTATCAAAAAAATAGAAAGAAGAAAAGAAATATAGTCCAACTGGTAAAAACACATCAGGTAACAATCCTGATAAACATGTGCAGCGAACGCTGCAGACACTGGGGTAGAAGAAGAATGGTGACAACAACAATCGGAATAAATTGTCTCAAGTAAGTAAAAATAACTTTTAAAATAACTAAAGAAACTTTTAACAAGGCCCTAACACCAGGCCCTGGTGAAAAAAGCATGTAGCAGGTCAGTTCCTCACGATCCGTCCTGGGAGAAGAACCATTACGATTGGGGTTAGTACAAGCATCAAGTCCTAGATCCTGAAGAAGGCGGTTTCCTGCATCTATTGATAGCATGCCGTTTTCCGTGAAAAGAGACCAATATTTTAATCAGGTAGCCCCATTTGTAAGGGATGTTGTGGTTCCTGAGCGTAGAAGTAAACGCGATCAATTTCTTCCTGGTTAAAGGAGAACTATTGGGTGAGTGTTTTTCCCCATAGTTCTCCTTAGGGTAACGGGAGGACACAAACTAGCGTCCTCCCGTTACCCTAAGCTCAGTATACCGCGAGCTACAGCTTGCGGTATACTGAGACGGCGGAGCGGATCCCGACTTAGATGACGGGATCCGCCCAGCTGCGTGAGTGACAGCTGGCTCTGCCTATCTAGAGGCAGAGCCAGCTGTACCCTCCCCCGTCCGTTCCGCCAGTCAGCGCTGGCAGATCGCAGCGGGGATAGGGGAATCCAGCCCCTCCCCCTGTCACGGCAGAGAGCCGTGACAGGATCGAGAGGCGAGCGAACCAGGTGTGTGTTCGCTCACCTCCCGATCTACTGAGCCGACCTGTGACAGTCTCATTGTCACAGGTCGCCTAGAACTATGAGGTGAGTGAAAAGCACTCACCTCATAGTTCTCCTTTTAAGATGGTGGTTTGAAGAAGATCAGCATAACGAGTGATGCCAGAGAAGTGCATTGACACCAGAGTTAGCTGCTTGCATAGCTTTTTCTTTTACATGAAAAAAGTGGATCCTGGCCAGTACATCCCTGGAAACTTTGTCAGGTAACCCTGACGGTTTGGTGATCCGATGAGCCCTGTGGATGAGTTTTTGCAGTTGTAGTTGCGGTATGTGTTCCGTCAGAAACTGTTGTAGGAAAAACAAAAGCTGATGTGGGGACACTAATTCAGGGATCCATCTGAACTTTGTTGTTTTGTCTGGAGCAATCTTCCAGATCGGCTAATTTAAGTCTCATCTGAAGATCATTGGAATGCTCTTGGAAGCCCTCAACTAGATCATTATGTCCCATAGTAAGATCATGCACTCTCATCTTCCACATGAGATACTCTGGCTGGGAGCAAACACCTAAAGGTGAGCTAAACTTTTTCACCTAGTTGCTTCTCCCAATAATAAACACCCTTGGAATACTTGCCTTATAGGAGCTTCCTGTGTGTACCAGCAGTCTGAATCTTCTGCAAATCAACCTGGATACAGGGCAGGATCTGTATGAGACATAATTACTGATTGGCTACCCCTGTCTGAGCAGCTAGTCAGTGCTCTTCTAAATGAGTGTTAAGGTGGCCATACACTAGGGCTGCAACAACTAATCGGCATAATCGATTATAATCGATTATTGAAAAAGTTGTCAACTTTCTCAATAATCGATTAATCGGCTTCCGATAAATCTGCCCAACGTACAATCTGCCCATCCTGGACAGGCAGATCGTACTCTCGATCATCGCAAGCCCGCCCCCCTGCAGTGTATGGACACCTTTACCGAGTATTTTTTGCATTATTTTAGTTTGTGGATATAGCTGGATGAGGGTTATCTCATATATAAGCATGAGATTTTCATGTTTATGGCTGCTTTAAAGCAGACCTTCCTCCAAGAAAGCAAGATCTTTTTTTATAAAATAATGGCTTTTACCCCATTTTTAAATGACTTTTTTTATGGGTAGATGTAGAAAAACACACCTGTGACGGGAAAGAAGTTGGAATATGTGCTTAACTTACCCCCCACTTCCGCATTTGAGGTTATGATGTCCCTATCCTTCCAATGAGATGCAGAGGAATCCCGGGTATCCTTTCTAACGAGATGATGCTTCTGCACTATTAAGGGGGTAGGGTGGTGGTCGGCGGGGAGAGTGGATTGTGATGTAATTGGTGGACCTTGCTTTCTAATGAAATGTCTGCCTTACGATTTGTTATAGTCCTTCACGGACACACGGTTTGTTAGTCTTTGCTTTATGCCTTTTCATTATTTTATCTTGATTTCATGGTATTTCATATAGAAATAAAATTATCCAATGTTTTCACCCAGATTGCTGAAGACAAGTGTCTGCTAGATTACACCAGTGGAGAGCAGTTGCATGAACTGATGCTGACCAAATATATTGATGAGCTAAATGCTGAACACAGTCCAGAAATGGAGGAAACTGTTTTGCTGATGTTGAGGCTAAAGATTTTCATCCAAAGTTTAAGATGTCCAGCATCTTTTCCAATTGGTAAGAACCTGAATTTGATTGAAATCATTTTCCATAAGTCTACTAACATGTATAGTGAGCCCCACAGAAGCCATCGTGACCAATTTTTACAATGTTTAATTGTCGATCTGTGCAGTAGTCACATAAATGTTTTCCACTTTAACTGTTTTACTGTCAAGCGATTGTGTACCATACATTATGGCTTTACCTGTTCTAGGTAGCCAATAAAATAAGGGTATGGCATTGCAATTAAAAGAAAAAAGCAAACAAAAAACTAACCACTACGGAAGCTGAACTGCTGTTAGCGGAATTATTTTGGGTGGCTGCACAGCTGTGGACTTGAACAAGCTGTAATGTTTATATGTAAAAATTTAAATTTCCTTTTACTTCAGCTCACAAATCTAGAAATTGTATACATTCCATACTAGAGGTACTACTGTATTCCAGGTGTGATTCAAAGCCATTTAACTCTTGCAAAAAAAATCCTCCTTGTCCACTTCATACCGCTATGAGGTAATTTATTTAATGCAACCAGATATTTAACTGTTTTCCTAATATTGATAGTATAGTCTGTTCTTCTCACTGGCCCATAAATAAATTTTCATTTGCATAACCTGATTGTAAATGTACAGCCCATCACCGACCCTCTCTTCCTTATTTAGAAATCCTCATAAACCTGAAGTTATTATTTAAAACAAACTCCATACAGTTCAAAATATTCTTTATTGTAATTGTACAATACAATACACAGGCAATTGAGAGATGACTGGGTAATATGCAGGTATCATGTGATTGCAAACTGACCAGAGCTGTGAACTCCTATGACCCCCTCCCCCTCAAGGAAAGCTCAGTTTTTTTGCTAGTGTCCTAGGTGATGGACCACAGCAGCTTCCGATTGGCGCCTCATGGCAGCATCTTTTGGAGCTGTACCCAGAGCCCACTGGATAGTAGAAATAAGGCCAGCCTGCAATGTCCTTTTGTTTACTGGATCCCGTATTCAATGCCCACCTTGGAACATAGAACAGTGTGTTAGCCGCAAGGTGCTGGTGTGACCCTGTCTCTAAAGACCCCTTCGAGTGTACTCTCATCCAAAATGAGTGAAGCCATGGGTTGGTGGCATCCCCCCTTCCCTCAGTGCAGATCTACAAACGCATAATGGTGGGTGAGCCTTTGCTCCACCCCCCAAGGTAGCCTGTGCAGGCTCTGCTGTGGGCACCAAAGCCTTGGCCAAGGTCCTTTGCTGGCACCTGCGCAGTTGTGCAGGGAGCAGTTTCATCTTCATCCTAACAAACATATTCAGGACTGCGAAATATAGGTGCCGTGGCCATCATGGAGCTCTAAGCCATCTGGGCAATATAAACGCATGGAAGTCATCTTGGTATACTTAGCAGAACTGGAGTGCAAGAGAAGTGTGGGTAGAACTCCTTTCATGGGAGAATGTGTTTTTGGGAAGGGTTAGATGCCTTTATTAGGGAAGGTAATGGGAGAAATGAGCACTCTTTTGCCCAGCCAGCGAAAGACTATGGTTGTTCCATTGGATAAGTCCAATTCAGCTCTGGCCAGGAAAAGCTCTTTTCACCCCTCCCAGGCTTCCATCTCCAGGGTGAGACCAGGTTTCTGGTTCAACACAAGCTTTGGACCCTAAAACCTTCAAAGGCTACTGCCAAGTCCTCCTCGCAGTTGGATGTGCCCCTACTTGTTGATGTTGGCTCACATCTGTTGCCTGTTTAGGGTTGAGGCATCCAGGGTTTTGGGGTACACCTAATAGTTACCCAGGGTTGAAAAACTGGAGTTTTTAATATTCCAATTGCCTCTTTCCCCCTGTGCAAGAGGATCTAAAGGGTGCCTTACAGTGGTTACTGACTTCAGGGGGCCATCATCTCTGTACAAGAATAGTTTTTAGTTTTTTTGCTACTATTCTCACTTCCCTAGCAATTCTTGTACCGGTGGACTTTTTTTTTTTTTTTAATCCGATAATTTTTATTACAAAAGTAATATAAAGCTGTAAACAAACCATTATCAAATCAATCAGATCAAAATACCTTTGATAAGGATTGGTACAAAAAAAACTATTTATACAAATGTCCATATGCACATATATGAGCTTGTAAGTACTGACAATATACAGATAGTGCTGTCATATGAGATGAACAAAGATCAAATTACCGTATTTTTCGGTCCATAAGACGCACCGGACCATAGGACGCAGGGAGGTCCGGTGCGCCTTATGGAGCACTCGACAGACCGTAGCTTCTGTCACAGCTTCTATGACAGAAGCTGCAGTTAGTGACCGCTGAGACAGGTGGCGTTGTGATTACAGCGCCACGGTCTCAGTGATCACAGAGAGCAGACGAAGAACTTCCGTTCTTTGTCTGCTCTATGGTGATCTCGATCGTCGCGGCTGCTCGGTTTTAATACGAGTGATCTCATTAGATCACTCATATTAAACGAGCAGTGGCTCCTATTACTGATCTCGATCGCCGCTGCTCGGTTTTAATAAGAGTGAACCCATTAGATCACTCGTATTAAACGAGCAGTGGCTCCTACTACTCGCCCGGCGCCCGAAACTGCATGTCTCGGGCGTCGGGATTCGCTCCATAAGACACAGGCACATTTTCCCCCTCCTTTTGGGGGGGAAAAAGTGCGTCTTATGGAGCAAAAATACGGTAACCAAAAAGGGCATACTGGCGGATATGTCATTTAGGGAGTATATCCAAAGGAATTTTTACAATAAAAAGCACATGGAGGGTTTTATGCAAGATAATTAAGTGCCACGGAACTTTATCAAAGTGAACAAAAATCCATCCATCGGGACGAGCTCCTAAAAAATCCCCATCAGAGAGCCATCAGCGACGACCCCCAAAACATATACTATTCTGCATTGCTGTAAAATGTATTTTTGTGGTTTGTAGTCCCTTCATTGGGGTACAGGTATGGATGCACCGATACTCAGGGAGAGCCAACGCTCCACGGGTAAGGTGTGTAATAATTTGTCTTGCCCCAGGTGCTGACAACCCACGCTACACCACCCGGTTAACCACGGCTAGGTCCAGAACAACAAACGGATCAGAGATCCGTTTTATCGGATCGTGCCAGACCGGGAGTAATCTGATGTGTCACTTTACTTTGGATTCTTCATAGACACACATGGGATCCGGCAGTTTTTTTATTCTTACGATGGAGGAAAAAAACTGTACGGACGTCACAGCGGTGACATCCGATCTGTTGAATGATCCTCTCCTGACACGCTTGTCTGAAAGTGTGCTTAACAAGCCTGATGAATCCGTGAGGTTAAAACACAGATTTATTGTTAACTTTGTAAAAATTATTATAGCACAGTGGCAATGTAACATGATAGCATTAGCAGTTGTCTTATCTTGTTGCCAGAATTATTGCTTTAATACAAAAAAATATAGATTTTTATTATTTCTTTGTTTTAGGTGGTTTATGGTGGAACCCTGAGACATTTGACAGTGTGAGCCGTAACTACGTGCAAGTTCTTGTTGGTCTTTTTGATCTGATTGTACGTGAGGCAACTGATGGAAAGCATGCTGTCAGCTTTAGAACTCTCCTAGTGCTTTTATTTAAGGTGAGTTACTACTTGTAAAAATGTCTGTGTTCATGGTGGTATTTTTGAAAGTAGGTGTGGGGCGGTTGATTAATTTTGACATTGAGGACATTTTCAACTGCTGAAAATCATTCCATTAACTTGTGAACTCTCCTGGGTCTTTCATTTATGGTTAGGTTTTGGTAGATGTATATATTGTTTTGTAACCGTCTGTACTGCCCTCTGGAGATTAGGTGCACTAAATGTTTAACATTATGTATGTGTCAGTGATGATTCTCATTTATCTAGGTTATGGTAAGGCTAGTAGTAGTTATTCAGGCTTTTGTTAAAACATACACAAGGATTCGGAAAAACAAGGGACTACCGAACAGAGGGGAGAAGGGGAGTAAAATAGTCGTCCTGTATGTGGCTGACGTGTCAGGATAACAAACATCTCATCCATGTGTCTTTCAAGCCCAGCAACACGCCGAGACAGAATATTGTACATCAAAAAGACCCAACATCCAAACCCAAGCAATGTAACCTCGCATGTGCAGTGAAGGGAGGGTAAGAACAGTATATTTGAGGATACAGCAATAAATGTCCTAACAAATGGAAGACCAAACAGAGGAAGGCATTTTTTACATGTTATGACTCGGCAGTCTTCTTACACCTCATTCTTTTGAGGACAGTGAGTTACACATTTTGGACCAAAGGAATCTGATTTGCAAGAAGCGTAAAAGAGCCCTTCTGCATAAAAAGTGAACTATCCCTATACAGGGTTGGGGAGCCTTTTGACACCATCTGTCCCCCACGTGAAATGCCACTTTACCATCTCTACCCTGGTGATTTGGCATAAATTCACTCTCAGCCTTGTAAATCGAAGGGTTCACACCTGTTGCAGGCTTCTAGCACCAAGAGACTGGATTGAGTTAGGTGAGAACAGTGTATTTCCTCAAACATTCACACCTCTAATCTGTTCTTGGATAATCAAAATCTGTCTTGTCGTATTCCATCGTGTCTGAATTATCCATGTGGCTATAAATGCTGGGGTATGTTCCTGAAACTTCTTTAACCCCTTCGTGATGGGAGACGTACACTGTACGTCCCACCATGAAGTGCTTAAATGACTGGCCCAAGTACACTGTACGTGACCAGTTTTTGCAGCTCTGTAAAGCTGGTAGCTGCTGATTCCACCATTCATTAATGAGTGCCTCAGTATTGAGGCATTCATTAATGAAATCGTTAAGCTTTTGTAAAAGCTTCTTTCTTTCATTAATGAAACAATGAAGCCGTTACATGCAAATAAGGGAGCGCTAAATAGCAATCCCGTATTTGACGCTGAAAATAGCAGAGAGGTAGCAGATTGACTCGCCTCTCTGCTATTCGTTTTGACAGCTCCATAGCCTGATGTTTATGATACATTTCAGGCAAAGAGATGCAATGCATCTCTTTGCCTGAAATATATCACTTCTGATCGTCTAGGCACGATCACAGACCTTTAGTGAGATCTGAATCTGACATGCTGTCAGGATCAGTCTCTAAGGTTATTAGCTAACTAGCTTCCTAAGTTTGGAGCAGCCTTATAATAGCCAAAAATTAAAGTTATAGTGACTGCTTAATATAAACTGACAAAAAAAAGTTGTTGTTTTTTTTTTACAAAGTGTAAAAAAATTAAAATAAAGTGAGAAACTGAAAACTAGCTCAGTCATGAAGGGGTTAAAGAAGTAGTCCGTGCAAAATGTTTTTAAACCCTTGCATTCCAGAGGAGAATTCAGTACAGGGAAATACTTTTGACCATTTTATGCTATGTGAATGAGAAACATGTAACAAAATTGGTGTCGCACGGAAAAAAGTGTAAATTCACATTAACACTTTTGTGACCACTTTTTTCTTTTTTGTGAAGCTTAAATGCCCAGACTAATAGTGTAAGAATGCGTCAATTCACTTGTTTGACAGCGTGCATGAGAACTAGGAACATACAGAGTTATGCATTTAATTGCAGTTGTGCTGCGAGGTTAATTTGCATTTTTAATGGCAGAGGGGTATTTTTATTTGGACTTGCTGTATTTGGAATATTGTATTGCGGTCAGAGGGGTTAAACTTTGCAAACAAGAGGCCAGTTCATTGTCTTTCAGACTTTAAGCGGTCATACTGTGGTCATCGGGAGTAGAGAATTCCCCAGCGTCAGTGGAGTAAACAATGCCTCAGGCTCCATTGGTCTGTGGAAGTAAAACATTACCAAGTACCTTTTGATCAGTAAGAGCGGAAAACAGTGCCTTATTTTTGTCACTGGGAGGAACAATCCTCCATTGTTGGTGTCAATGGGAGGATAAGTGCCCCATCAGTGGTGTCAATGATAGTAATAGTGCCCCATTGTTGCTCTCAGTGGAAGGAACTATGCTCCATTTTTCAGAGGAATGAATAGTGCCCCATCGTTGGCATCAGTGGTCATAATAGGGATAGTGCCTAATTACTGCTATCAGTGGGAGCAATGGTGCCCGATCCTTGGTGTCACTGGAAGAATTGTGCCCCATCGCTGCTGTTGGAGGAATAGTGCCCCAACATTATCAGCATGAGGAATAGTGCCCCACCATTGGTGGCTGTGTGAGGAATAGTGTCTCATTGTTGATGTCAGTGGGGGAATTGTTCCCCATCATTGGTATCAGTGGGAGAAATGGTGCCTCATCATTGGTATCAGTGGGAGAAATAGTGCCCCATATATCATGTCAGTGGGAGGAATTTGTCATGTTTTGTGCCAGAAGGTGGAACGCTTCCCTAAAGGGCCAGTTAAAGGCAAGCAAAGGGCTGCAGTTTGGGGATCGCTGCTGTAAGACGATATATCAGATTATAATGCTTCTGATTGGAATCTAGGGTTTATATGCATCTTCTGTTTTATTGAAGTACACAGTGAAGTTGATTGTAGATCTTAAACCACAGGGTATTGCGCCACCTACAGGAGGACACTAGGCACACAACAAAAGACAGCCTAGGGGCGGCCCCTGCTGGTGGCCAACCGGTCACCTGCTGATCAAGTTTCCAATTGTTTTCCTAGCGTCAGGAGTAAGGAGCTATGGATTTTTCTCCAGAATTCTTTCCTATTGTTTTCCTCTGTTTTGGCTGGATCTTTAATCAAGTGCCATCTGGGTGACACTCTGGATGATCATGAATCCTTGTAGTCCTACCCTGTGCGGCCATCGAGCACATTCAGACTCTGCTACAGTGGGTCTGCTGCGACTGCACTCTACTCATGGAGTTGCCTGTGGGATTCTCTCCCAGTGGGGTTCATAAGACTGGAGGTCTCAGCTTCCCAGTCACAGTATCCCACACAGGCAGGCGGCACCCATACTACAGTCGGTGGCGGCCCACTGTTCTCTGCGGAACCCTGGTCTATTACTGCAGTATTTAACACTATCCGCATGGCATCAGCGTCCCCTCGATAGGTGGTTCTGTCAGCGCCCCCCAGGGTTGCCTTCGGGCTGGTAAGTATTGAGCTGGAGGTCTGGCATTCATGTGGCAGTGACATCTGGTGCTGCGGACATTCTACAGCCCATGGCACAGCTTTCCAGCCCCTTCGGAGGGTTCTGAGGTTGAGAAAGAGCTCTCTGCGACGTTGGACCTTCGCTCCTGGGGATTCTAAACAGGATGGGTCAAGTGGTGAAGGTTGTCCGCCTCTCTTGCTCCAGGAATGCGAGCTGGTTTCTGCCCTTGTTCATTCAGGATCAGGAGCCCTTGAAGATCGAAGATGCTCCAGGTTCTTCTGAGGTGCCCCTAGTTTACTTTGACACCCTCAGCTTGGGCGATCTGCTGTGGTTTTATTGTACGTCACCTTTCTTAATGATTTTCTTTACAAGGAGTGGAAACGGCTTACCTAGTCCTTAGGGTGTAAACATTTGTCCATTCGCTATTCCTTTGAGGAATCTTTCATGGAGCAGTAGTCTACGCCGCCGCTAGTGGATCCACCAGTCTCGTGCCTTATCAAGGCTGCAGTCATTCCTGTGGAGGATTCCCCATCTTTCTGGGTTCTCATGGATGGGTAGGCAGAGGGTACTGCAAGAACTATGTATGTCATCGCTGTTGCTTTATTCCATCCTGTTTTGGCTTCAGCCATGGTATCTGAATCTTTACCTGAGTGGAATTATCTGTTGCATCAGAGTTTGCTGATGAACGGGATTCTCCCGCCTATGTCAGCCTACTGGTGCTGGGTCTGCAACGTGATGCTCGATGCTGGTCCATTGGTGTTTAAATTGTCGGTTCTGGTTCTAGTGCTGATCGGCTAATGGGACCTCTTAAAAGAGCGCTTACCGGACTGCCCTTTATGGGGGACCACCATTTTGGCTCTATGCTCTATGAAATTATTATACACCTTACTGGAGGTTAGAGTACACTTTTGCCTCAGACCAGGAAGTCGATGGATCAGCGTCGGAGGTCCGGTTCTTCCTTTTCGGCCCATGACCATCTGTCATTCCTTGAGTACCGCGGACTAGGGCAACCGTGGCTTGAATAAACCATCAAGGCGGAATAAGGGCAGCCGCAGCGTTGGCGGTGTCAGAGATTCTTTCCTGGGCGGAGAGGCACATTCTGGCTTTTTTCACAGTGCACACCCTGAGGGTGAACAATTGGCAGGGTGATTACCTTAGCTGCCAGTCTGTGGATCCAGGGGAGTGGTCATTGCATCCGGAGGTGTTTTAACAGAATGGTGTCTGTCGGGGGTCTACAGATGTGGGTCCCAGGCATCTCTGCCTCACCTAGAAGGGTGATCAGTTTGTGGCCAGGCTCAAGGAACCGTGGGCTGATGCAACCGATGCTCTGAAAGCTCCGTGGGACTGGTACATTCTGCTTTATGCTTTCCCCCTCGTGTACCACCTTCCGCATCTTTGTCACAGGATAGGGACTGTGGGGATTTCCTGTCTTTCTCATGGGCCGGGGTTGGTTGCGGAAGGCGTAGTACACAGACGTGGTGCGTTGGGTCACGGACGCGCCCTGGCACCTGCCATTTCGGCCGGATCTTCTGTCTCAGAGTCCCGTCTCCCGTCCTGCTTTTCAGTCGCTGGCTTTAATGGCGTGGCTACTGAAAGCCAGGTGTTGAAGGACCGGTTATTTAGGTTATTCCCACTATGCTTAAGGCATGTATGGCTACTTCATGAACATTTTGCCACGCTTTTATTCAGGGAGTAGAATCTGACTTTTCTTCAGAGTGGGGTGGTCAAATTATTGGCTCTGGGCTCATCCCCTTCCAGCGGCCCATGGCATCCGATTCCCTAGTTTGCACTTGTGGGCAAGGGCTCAGACATAGTTTCCCCCTCTCCGGTTTACTGTACCCCACCTTTTGGTGCTTTTGTTGTTGTGGAAATCTTTCTTTGAGAATTTAAAAGATTCTGCTGTTGAATCTCATTCTTTTTGGTGGCTATCACCTCTATATGGAGGGTTTCGGAGCTGGCGGCCTTGTCATGCAATTCCCCTTTTCTGTTTCTTCACCAAGACAAGGTTGTGCTCTGACACTGGTCTTTTCTTCCTAAAGTCGTTTGTCTTTCATCTTTGTGAGGTTATTGTTCTACCCTCTTTTTGTCCGGGGCCTACCCATTGGAGAGAGAAAGAACTCTACATTGCTTAGTTATTGTTTGAGTTCTTCGTGTCTATATGTTAAGGCATCTTTTCGTGAATCATATTCTCTTTGTTCATGGTTACAGATGGCCCTCAGAAGGGCCAGGCTGCATCTCCTGTTGGATTTGCAACGCTGTGGTTCAGGCCTCTGCTATAACGGGTCGGGAACCCCCTTTTCCCTTAGCTCATTCTACCAGGGCTGTTGAGGTGTCCTGGGCCTTTTATGTTGGTGCCTCCGTTTCTCAGGTTTGTAAGGGGGCCACTCGGTCTCCTATTTTTTTTTCCAAGTTCTAAAAAGTTGTTATGGCGTCTGTGGACACAAGGCAACCCTTTAGACGGATTGTTCTTTTGTGCGGGTAGAGTTTTCTTGCCCACCCCTCATGTTGCACTGCTTTGCCCTGTGTTTTAAGATCTACGATGTACTTCACTGTGTTCTTCAATAAACAGAAGAGAAATGTATACAAAAAGATAGAGAACAGCGGGGCTTTAAAAGTGTCCAAACCATACAAAATGTCCATCAAACATACATGGTTTTGTATAAAAATATATTTAAATATTAAAGATTATTTAAAGACTTGATTACATTTAAAATATCATTGGCATGATGCAATGTTACATTAAAATCAAGCTACCTCCTTTTGGTGCCCATACATGTGTAAATATATTTATATATCCTAGAGTCCTAAATCCTGTAATAATTGTATAATCCACTGTGGGCCCAATCACCGACGCGTTTCGCAACTATGTGCTTCCTCATGGAGGTTGGAGGTATTCTAAAACATTGCATCAAAATAAGTTTAAGTATAATGATCTCAAAGACCAAATGCTTAATGAAAATAACAAATAATAACAGTACAAAACCCACTTCATGCTCACAAAGATGGCTGGATCCTTGGTCCCACAAACTATCTCGCAATCACCAAGCAGGTGAATCGGTGGGAGGTGACCTGGGATAAACAGGAATGAGGAAATGAAAAAAGGGTAATAAATTCCAGGTATTCAAAAAGATTTGTTAAGAGGTAGATTTGTGCAAAGATACAGAGATATGAAATATCTGTTATTACGGTAGAAGCAGCTATTGGTCCATATATACTGGCAGAGGACAACTGGATCCCGTAAAATAAATCTAAATGTAGGGCATTACCAATATTAAATAATGGCTTCAGGTAAATATACTCAGAGCCTTGAGGAGCACCTCCAAAACGGTTAATTTAATTCCAATATTCTAAATAACGTTCCAAATCCTCATCCTCATCATTAGTAAAAACGGACAATCCATATAGTTAAAACTAGTTTTACCTATTGCAAAAAATCCCATCGTCAGTATTGTTCAGGATCAGCAGTCCATAAAATGGCTCCATGGTAAGCCACTTATATATCCCCGGGACGCCATTGTGCATGCCCACAGTTTGTGTCATGACGTCAATGGCTGCGTCAGACTGGTAGATAACGGATGCGCATATTCGGGGTCAAACAGGTGCATGTGCATATTCGCCGCAAGCAAACGTGCAGATCAAACCTCCTAGAGCAGTGGTGGCGAACCTTGGCACTCCATCTGTTTTGGAACTACAAGTCCCATGATGCATTGCAAGGCTCTGACAGCCACAGACAACTCCCTGAGGCAGATGCATGTTGGGATTTGTAGTTTTGGCACAGCTGGAGTGCCAAGGTTCGCCATCACTGTCCAAGAGGATCCAGCCTGGCGACCTCCCACCAGTAGATGGAACTAGACACAGCGTGTGGGACCTCGGAGCCATATAGCAAATCATATAGGAAAAACTCAACATTCATCATAAAGTACAAAAATATTTAAAAATACAAGTAACTTCACATAAACATACAATTGTTTGGTCAGTAATAAATACCTTTGGGATATATCTGACACAAAGCTATATATCCCAAAGGGTTGTATCATGCCAATTACATTTTAAATGTAATCAAGTCTTCAAATTATCTTTATGTATTAAAATATATTTTTATACAAAACCATGTATGGTTTGGACACTTTTAAAGCCCCGCTTTTTCACTATCTTTTTTGCGTACATTTCTACTTGTGGGGTGTGGTGCCTATCCCTAATGGTTCAATCTTGATGATTTAAACCAATAAACAAGAGAAAATTTGTTTTTTTGTACTCACCGTAAAATCCTTTTCTCTGCGTTCATTTAAGGAGCTTCTCCTTACTGTATGCTACTTACTGGAGACTTGATCAGCAGATGAGGGTTGGCCACCAGCAGGGCCACGCCTAGGCTATCTTTTGTTGTGTGCCTAGTGTCGTCCTCCTGCTGGTGGCGCAATACCCCCTGTGGTTTAAAATCTACGATCTACTTCACTGTGTCCTTCAATGAACGCAGAGAAAAGGATTTTACAGTGCGTACAACAATCCTATTTTTGACACTACGAGTTTCTCAATAGTATTGTGTGTATTTTGCTAACAAGTATTTTCTATGTTTATACCAGGAACACTTGAAGGATCCAGCTGAACGATTTGGCTTCCTTTCACTGTTATGGACATATTGCTACAACCTCACGTGGTCTCTAGGTTGCACGGTGAATGCAGTCCTACAAACTCAAGCACTTTACATTGGTCGGAGCTTACTTGCTTATGAGGCTACAGAAAAGGAAAAACATGTTAAGCTGATCTCCTCTCCAGGTAAGTCATGTATGTGTACTGGAGTACACAGCATGTACTCTATGCTAGGGTGGGCAACCTCAGCACTCCAGCAGTTGTGGAACTAAAAGTCCCATTAACGATGAGCGACCCCAAGATGTAACAACTGTGTTTTTTAAAATTTCATTTTCTTTGTTAAAAAGGTTATACCCCGTGTGGGGGTGGCCGAAAAACTGAATCTAGTTTGTTTGAAAAAAAAAAAGCCCCATTAGGCATTACAAGACTGAGAGCCACAGGCATGACTCCTAGAGGCATAATCGAATTTGTAGTTTCGCCACAGCAGGAGTGGCCAGGTTGCTTACCCCTGCTCTAAGCAGTTTTTATACAAATACTAAATTAGTAATTGTTACTCAAGTTTAATTGTAATGCCTTGAGTGAATAAAAGTAATTGCAAAAAAATTGCTTTTGTTAATTGGGAGACACATACGATCACTGGGTTTACCTGGAGGTTGGAAGGCTTTGCCCATCATACAGGAAATATCTACTGAACAGCCAGGCTTGGTTTTTAGCTTAGTATCCTAAGGCTCCATTCACATATAGTGTTTGCGTTAACCGCGCGGAAGACCGCATGGCATGAAAATGCTAAAATCCTTACATATGCACGGATTCTGCTTCTTTGTCGCTATTACTATAGCCGCGAACGTGCTGAATCCGCCCCTAAAATCCTGCTTGGACTATTTTGCGGGACGCGCAAGTATCACCCTAACCGTCCCCTCCGCTCATCCATTGACCTCCTGCTTTCCATCTCCCTTGTCCACTCCTCCCATACTCGCCTCCAGGACTTCTCAAGAGTCTCTCCCATCCTCCGGAACTCTTTACCCCAACCTGTCCGTCTATCTCCCACCTTGACTGCCTTTAGGCGTTCCCTAAAGACTCATCTCTTCAGGGAAGCCTATCCCCCCTCGACCTAACCACTGAACCTTCACATTCTCAAATAATTAATTCCCACAGCTACCTCCATGTATCATTTCCCCCTCCTCTTTTAGATTGTAAGCCCTCACTGGCAGGGCCCTCCTTACCATCTTGTCTTGAATTGTATTGTAACTGTAATGTCTTCCTTATATTGTAAAGCGCTGTGCAAACTGTTGGCGCTATATAAATACTATGTAATAATAATAATTAAAATGCATTGTTTTTTTATGTTTAGAGCGGTTCCGCGTGCATTCGTATGGCTGAATACATGTGGAAACTGTGAGCCTAAAGATGTTTTTCTTAACCGCTTCCGGGCCGCAATTCGTCTATATACGGCGGCCTGCAGAAGTAGATAAAACAAGAACGCTGCTACTGCAGCCGTGTTCTTGGTGTAATTTTTAACAGCCGGTGATGGCTGTTAATGTACAAGCGATCTGGAGTCTATACAGCTGCCGGACTGTTTGTACCGAGCAGCGATGTAAAAATCCCCCACCGGGGCCGCCATCTGCTTCCCCAGGCTCCCCTGTCCCCGTGCGGCGCCTGGTAACAGCTCTTGCCTCTGATCTCTTCTCTGATCACTGGACGCTTACATGACTTCCGGTGTCACTATTTACATTCTCCGGCTCTTAGAGCCTTGAGAAGAAGCTGGGGAAGCAGATCTCTGCTTGCTCTTCTCCTTCAGGTCCCTAGGTGGCAATAGTGGTCTGAAAGACCCCTGAAGTCTCCATAAAGAACATGTGCCACACCCTATCTGCTATTACATAGGGAGCTTGTTAGCCCTCTATGTCATAGCAATAAGGTTAGTGTAAAAAAAAAAAGTGTTTAAAAATTAAAAAAATGAAAGTAACATATAAGAAAAATAAAAAATGTAAAGTCCCCCCCTCCCCCCCATGTGCACACACATAAACACGCATTGGTGCGCCTACATGCGAAAACCACAATTACGCTACACATGTTGCATATCGCCACGAACGTCGGAGTGAGAGCAATAATTCTAGCTCCATTAATCACTGTTGGCACTAAACTGGGAAATTTGGGGTATTGAACTTTTGTGCGGCTTCACGGGCGAACGCAATTTTAAGGCTTGACATGTTTGGTATCTATTTACCCGACGTGACCCTGTCTTTTTTATATTTTACCAAAAAATTGGGTATTATATTATGTTTCTGTGCACTACATTTTGATTTAGTTTATTTTATCCTAAAAATACTGGTTTGATAAACATTTGAGCAAATACTGTGCAACCTAAAAAATTTAAACTAGCATTTTTTTTAATTCTACAGGGCCTCTGCTTTAGAAAATATATAATTGGGGATTTTAAGCTGTTTTCTAGCCAAAAATTTATATTTTATCATGTATGTGCAAATAGTAAGACATTGCTCTGGACAGCAAGTGGTTAGCTGCTGTGCTTCCAAGATTGAAATATGATGATTGCTATTCTGATGCTTCTGACAGTAGAACAGACTCCCAGATTGTGCTCCTTGGACTGGACACAAGGCTCCCAGACTTGGACTTCAGCCTCTATTTCTATTGCTACCTTTGATGAATAGGCTTGATGCTGGGGAACCTGCTTTATCCCTACCTTCTTTAAATCAGCAGCTACCTTGAGCTAAGGATTGTTTGAGGTGAATTTTTACATTTGCAGGGAGATTTCTGAATGCAATAATCACTTTACCTATGCTGTCTTGTGACCTCCTCTCCAGTGCAGAGCACTCTTTTTAAGTGCAATTTTTGCTTTACAAGCAAGATTATGATGCAGAAGGGCTCTGAGACACTACTGGAAGCCTCACCTTCAGCAGTTGAACCTTTAGCCTGGCAGCCTAAGGCACATTTAACCCCTTCATGACTGAGGCCTTTTTTTTTCATTTTTGCACCCATGTTATATTCCACATTTTAGGCCTGAAAATTACTTCAAACCCCCCAACATATATTTTCTGAATGCCAAGACCCTATAGAATAAAATGGTGGTAGCTGCAAATTTTTATGTTGCGCAATATTAACGCAACTGCTTATTAAACCCCAACATTTAGTGAAAAATTTAATTAAATGCCCCAAAACACAACAAAATACCAATTTTTTTAATGAAATATATAAGATGAGGTTACAACGAGTGAAACAATACCCAACATGCCCAGGTTACAAATTGCGTGCGTCCGTGAAACGGCGAAAGACTGCAGTACCCCAAAAAGTCCATAGAAGACGCTTTAAAAGCCCCCACCGGTCATCAATTTAGGGAGACCCCAAAATACTGGCCCTAGAATTATTGCTCTCACTACGGCATGCGCTGCGATACCCAACATGTGTAGCGCGTTCGTCGTTTTCATACGTAGGCGCACCCCACGCGTGTTTACGTAGCGACTTTTTTTTACTTTACTTTGACTGCTATCACATAGGGGGGCTTACAAGCCCCCCCATGTGATAGCAGATGGTGGTGACAGGTACTCTTTAAGGTGATGCTGGGGGTCCAAAAGACCCCCAGTGTCACCTTTTACACTGGAAATAAGCTATTGAAGTGCAGATCGCACAAAAATGGCTTATAGCTGGGCTGCAGGAGCCCAGAACTGACAGCCCAGGGACCGGAAGTGATGCAATCTGCATCGCTCCCGGTCCCATAGAACGGGGAGGTGATCGATGAACGGAAGTTCGACGACCACCCCAGCTCCCCACGGACACCAAGGAAGCCGGTCCCGGGCCCGTAGGAGGGGCAACGGAGCCCGGGAAGCACGGCGGCGGTGTCTGGCGGGGGGTGGGGGTTGGCCCCTTCTACGGGACACAGAAGCGATCTGGCGACAAGTCGGCTTTACAAGTTTAAACAGAGCTTTTGCCGCCGGGAGTCTGATTAAACAGCCCTGATGCTGGCGACGTACACCGTACGTCGTCAGTCACGAAGGGGTTAAAGGGCTTGGAGGATGCTACTTTTCTACTTAAGTGAACTGGTAGCCTGCGGCCCACATTCGGCTGACAAGCTAGCCTACGCAGTCAGATGCAGACCTCATAGCTGCTCCTGGTGGTGCTGGCACTCAGTAGCTCATTTCTGATGGCACTCTGACAGACTTCATTGAGTGCCAGCCGAAAGAAAGGATTAGGAATATCTGCACCAGCCAAAGGTGCAGACCTTACTAGTTAACCACTAGGGAATATGCAGGTGACGGGGCTCTTATTTTCTGTGTATGTGCAGGGAAAGGGGGGGGCTATTATTGCATTAGTTTGTGTGTGTATTAGGCCCCATGCACACCTCTAAGCTTAGGTGTGATTAGGGATTGTTGTTCCTCAGCAAAGTTACACTGAGCGGTCTTTTTTTGTTTGTTTAATATGTTTTTATTGCACTTAAATTCAATATAATTTACATAATACATTTTATAGAAAAAAAAATATATATAAGGGAAAAAAAAGACCCAGTGGGATAACATATCTATCCCTCACATTTACTCTTACCATCCAACTCTACTTCCACTTTTCACCATCCTAAGACCCTTTCTTTCAGACCCGCCTCTGGAGGAATAATAGATGGACAGGCTCTATACACCTCCTGTGCCAATTCTCCCCTCAACCTGAATCCTTATCACCCTTTCTCCACCTCCCTCCCCACCCCATTTCCTGACTTCACCTCCCTACTCTCTAGTGACTTTCCTCATGTGAAAAAAAACAAAAACCCCGTGGTCAATATTCCAATTACTGAACTACTCTCCTATACTTCTAAACTGTTCTCCCTAACTATATATTGTGCTCCTATTCTATATCATCACTCCATACCATTCTACTACTCATACAGGTCAAGATCTAACTTTATTATATTAAATATCTATCCAGAAGTCCTATCTTTACCTTAGGCCATATATTATTACCCGTTTGTGGATTCATATTTACCTCTTTTCTGTACCCCTTTTCGCTACTCTTTCCTTCCCCCAGCGCCTTCATAAATTGCTCTGTCCGCGTATATGTTTCCCATTTTCCCCAGGTCTTATGGAAACTCTCCTTTTTATCTAAGTCCTTTGCACTTAATTCTTCCATATATCTTATTTCTTCCATTGTGCTAGCCCAGTTCTCTAAAGTAGGTAGGATCGTTGATTTCCATTTCCGCGATATACAAACTCTAGCTGCAACCAGTACAAATCGTAGGATATCGTTTTTTATCTTTTTTAGAGATCCAGTTATCAATGACAATAAGGCCATTGAAGGGTCTTTTTCAACATTTTGTTCCTCTATGGCATTATATATTCTAAATACAGATTCCCAGAACGGTTGCAGTCTAGGACAACTCCACCAGATATGCAAATACGTCTCCTCTTCTAGAGTGCATCTCCAACATCTGTCAGTTAAATCTGGATTTATATGTTTAATACCTTCTGGACACCTGTACCATCTAGATATTATTTTATAGTTCTTTTCTTGATGAAAAGAGGATATAATAGAGCTATGTGTCATATTAAATATTCTTCCCCACTCTTATCTGTTATCTCTCTACGCATATCCTGTTCCCATCTTTTCATATACTTAGTATGTCCTTTGTCTTCCTCGACCCTCAACATACCATACACCGCCGACAGAGTGTGGGCAACAGGTGTTTCTGATATACACAATTTCTAAAATGGGGTGAATGTCCTATTAAGAGTTTTTTGTATGTCCTAAGATGTCTAATAGCTGTACTGCTTCCATCCATAACTTCCCATTTGTTTGTCTCTCTGGTCTTAGTTACACTTTCAATTCTTCTCTACCTGGTTCTAATACTTGCCACACCTGTATATGTGGAGTATTCGCCGCACTCAACAGTGTGACTGTTTGCATACCTGGCTGGAATTGTGGGTTGCCCAAAATGGGAGTCAAGGGTCCAGGCCTAGATGAAAGATTATATTTAGTGGAATATCTATCCCATATTCGTAGCACCGATTGTACTAAAAAAGGGCTAGGTTGACATATGACACTGACAACCAGGGGAGGTTCCTCAAGTATACTGGGGAAATGGCCGCTTCCAATTTTACTACCCCCTGAGCGGACTTGAGCCCTCAGTCTCCTGGTAGGAATTTCTCTTTAAGATTTCCCGGAATTCGATCGTGCTGTCAGCTTCAGGGCCGGTTCACACCACAAACTCTGCGTTGCAGTGCGTTCAGCCTCTGGAGCGCACTAGAATGCAAGACGGACGGCTCCCTGCGGGCAGAGGCGGAAGGGGGCATTGCGCGGCATTGAAGTCAATGGCACCGCACCCATGCCCCCCGCCGGCACCCTGAAACACAGGTCTGCGTCCCGGTCCAGTATGATCTGCAAACATACTGCAAGCACTATTTTTGCACATCGCACTGGACTGGAATGCAAGCACTAATGTACCTGCCTTCTGGGTGGGGGCGTGGCTGCTGTGCCATTGACTTCAATGCACCGCCACGCCCTTGGTACATTGAGATAAAGTACAAGGCAGGGTGCTGCAATGCTGAGTAGGTAGCATGGGATTGCCCAGAGTGTGGAGTCTAAGGGTCAGCTGGTGTTCACCAGAGCTCCTGATGGAGATGGACTTGACTGCGTTCTGACCCCAGGTCACGACCCCCAGATCCCCCCAATCCACAAAGTTGGGAGCATGAAATTGTCCAAAATGTGCATCTCAAAACTGATGACCTGTAGGGGCTTTTAAAGCGTTGTCTATGGACTTTTTGGGGTACTGCATTTTGTTTGCAGTTTCACGGACGCACACAGTTTTTAACCTGAGCATGTACTCATTATATTCTCATCTTTTTTTATTGAACAAAAAAAAAATGGTTTTATATATTGTTTAATGACAATCAGCATGGGTTCAGGAAAGATCGTTCCTGCCTAACTAACTTGCTAACTACAATCCTAGAACGAGATCCTAATAGGTTGGACTTGATGGACTAATGTCTTTATTCAACCTCAAATACTATGTAACTGTTTTGGGACACTAAATTTAACTTAAGTGCATTTTTCACAAAATGTTGGGGTTTAATAATAAGTTGCACTAATGTCGTGCAAAAAATTTGCACTGCCACATTTTATTCTTTAGGGTCTTGGCCTAAAATGTGGATTATAACATGTAAACAAAAAATGAAAAAAGGCCTTTGTCCTTAAGGCGTTAACAGTTTTTGCTGTTGAGTTGTAGTGCAAAACTTTGAAAGACGTTGACCTTTAGAGGTGATTCATGCGCTTTTCCTGCTGTATTGATTACTGGTAGCAAACTCTTCCAGTAGTGAAAACAGTAGCTGCAATCTCTATATGCTGCACTGGGAAGATTACGATTTGTTTGTGATATGAAATCTGGTCAGGGTTGATCACTGACATCCCGGCTCTATGTACTAAGCATTTGCAGGAAACCAGATGCAACTTCAAATGATGGCAGAATCCATAAGCCAAAGAAGTGCAAGCCGTGCATATATTACTGTATGCTATTTTAGGGTACCAGGTCAGAGCACAGCCTTATCGTACTTGGTTTCACAACAGCTTAACTTCATATCGCAATTACACCCATAGCTTTGTAGGGTCATCCTCTTACATACTCCCAGTACCAGCCCTCATTATTTTCACATGCATTCACAAGTTCTTGTCCCCTTATTTTGCTTCAGATAGCGCTGCTGCTAACTTGAAGTGCCACTGGGCTACTGCTGCGGATGTATATTTCAATCTACAGTCAGCCGTTTAACAAATGGCTGTTTACTGCCCTCTGCTCAGTAAATCTACTGTCAAAAAAATGTCGGTGCCTGAACAACACAACTAGCTGGTACATCAGGCACCTCCCCAGTAACCAGCCATGCCTTGTTGCTCTGGTTGTAGCCCCAGTGAATTATTTATTGGGTTTTGTAACTAGAATTTCTAATGATATTATTAAACCGTATTGACTTAATTGTTCCACGTAAAACAGAACATGATTTGTAACTTGACGATTGGTTGGCAGGAGTGTCTGCCATGGTCACTAATGTTTTTTTTAGAATGAAAGCTACTGCAGCTCCCATCTTTGCAAGTTTGCACTTTATAGGAACTTATTGTCTTGGCACATGCCTCATTACTCTGAACTGCATTGCAGAAGAGGCTGCAAATCAAAAAAACTTCCTTCATGGGTTGATGAAATCTTGGAGCCACCAAAAATGTATTAGTTTTGTGGTGTTATCTTGTTATTACTTTAGTTAATGTCATAGATGGCACTGTGTTTTGGGTGTTTTCAGTGTTTCAATGGTATTCATTTTGTGTTTGTCCCTTGCGCAGTGTTGGCATCCTTGCTGATCAATTTGACTAGTCCAGTGAAAGAGGTACGCAAAGGTGCCATTGCCTGTTTAAATGTACTTAGGATGGTAAAGGATTCTCCACTGTCCCCAGTCATACAGGCTGTGATGGAAAGAACTGAAGAGATTGTTGCAGACTCTGCCTATGTATCACAGGTAATTATCATGGTTTTATTTGCTTCATATTTAACAAATTCCTTTACTTTCTGCATTTTAAAATAGAATTGGGAAATCTGTATTGTTATTGTTTCTATTTACTTTACAGATTCTAGGTAACCTTTTTAAGAATTTGCATACGTCATGCTCTTCTAAGGCTGCACTTAAACTCTCAGATGCTTTAGATCAACTCTTGAATCTGCTTCAAACAAGCAGCTGCCCGTCATATGTTGGCAAAGTCTTGCTCATGGTCCTACGTGATGTAAATGGTGAGGTGAGTATTGATGTTAAAAGGAAAATATTGAGAACTCAGAGAAGCTATTTTTTTGTTTTTTTGGGTTTTCTTTTATTGTTTTTTTTGTAATATTGGGTACAGGAAAGAGAAGTGTGTCGGTCTGACAAGAATACTAAACTTCAGAAAGGCAAACTTTGATAATATGCGCCAGCTAGTATGCGTCACCAAATGGGACAACTTATTTCTAACACTGAACACTGACTAGAAGTGGGATTGTTTTAGGAACACATTACATAACTCTATTACCAAGTGCATACCATTGGGTAGCAAAAATAAAAGATCAATAACTTAGCCTGCATGGCTAAATAAAACAGTAAAACACATCAAAGACAAGAGCATGGCATTTAAAAAATATATGATGGAGGGGACGGCATTGTCATTCTGGAACTACAAGGTAAGTAATAAAAGATGTAAACATGAAATTTGGGCAGCAAAAATAGAGTGCGAAAAGCATATCGCCACAGTCAGTAAGATGAACCCCAAAAAATTCTACCAATATATAAACCGTAAAAAGGTAAGAAAAGAGCAGATACGGGAGATGAATCACAAACGACGGAGCGGGCCGAGGTTTTGCATTCTTTTTTCTCCTTAGTATACAATTGGGAAAAAGACAGGTTTAATGTAGATAAGAATGCAAGTAGCTCAAGGGCAAAATATACCACAGTGGTTGACTAGCTGGGGGTTCAACAAAGACTTGAAAAACGTAATGCGAATAAGGCGTTAGGACCAGATAACCTGTACCCCAAGGTACTTAAAGAACTCAGCCAGGACCGTTATTCCTCATTTTCAAGGATTCGTTAATGACTGGCAGGGTACCAAGTGACTGGCGGAAAACTATGGTAGTACCGATATTCAAAAAAGGGTCAAGATGCCAACCTGGGAACTACAGACCAGTCAGTCGAACATCAATAGTATGAAAACTGTTAGAGGGAATGATAAAGGACTAAGAGTTTGTTCATAAAAATGGTATAATAAATATAATAAGCAGCATGGATTAAGGCTGGGTTCACACCTAGGCGTACCGAATATGCGCGTTTCGTGCTGTGCGTTTTTAACGGGTTTCGCGGTAAAAAAAAAACCCTGCTCGACAAACGCACGTTTCAGAGGGCTATCCGGCTGTATCCTAATGGATACGCACGGCAAATACGCCCCAAATAAGCTCCTGTACTTCTTTGGGCGTTTTGCAGCGCGTTCCTACACGCTGTAAAACGCCCAGGTGGAAACCATGCCCATAGGCAATCATTGGTTTTCACATGTTGAGCGTTTTATAGCGCATAGGAACGCGCTGTAAAACGCCCAGGTGTGAACCAGGCCTTAGGAAGGACCGTTCTTGTCAGACCAACCTACTAACATTCTACGTAGAGGTGAGTAGAGATCTGGATGGAGGGAGGCCGGTGGATGTGGTATATCTGGATTTTTCTAAAGCATTTGACAAACGCTTAATACACAAGCTGTGGTCTATGGGCATAGATTGTGACGGACCCCCGTACTCAGGATGAGTATGTCCGCCGCTGTCTTCTTCCTTGCTGAGGAGATATTGGAACCCGCTGATCTGTAGCTCCCAGTTTCCCCAGTCACTAGCCAAGGCTCGAGTGTAGGGAAAACAAACTCTGATTTATTGAGCAACTGCACAAACTTATATACAGCAAGTGATGAAATCAGAATATAATCCCATCACATCCCCCCTCCCCTCCCAGACCATCGGTCTGCTCAACACCACAGGTGTCCACCTGCTAACGAACTCCAGACAGCCATAGCAGGAGCCTGGCCAGAATGTCATTGTTCTGAGCTCCCTCAGAGAACAATGGGAGATAACGGGGGATGGTGCTGATAGTCTTTCCATAACCAGGTCACACAGCATAACGCACTCAAACATAACTCAACACCAATACACATTTAACTTATAAACTGATCACCATGTCGTCACATAGATTAAATGTGTACATGGGTAGGGAACTGGCTACGTGTCCAGAGAGTAACAATAAATGGCTCTTTTTCAGATTGGTCTAGGGAGCTTAGACATTTTAACACTACAGGAGGACTTAGATAAAATAGGGGAGTGGGCAACTATATGGCAGATGAGGTTTAATGTTGATAAATGCAAAGTAGTGCACTTTGGGGTTAAAAATAGGCAAGCGGATTACACAATAATGGGAACTCCACTAGTGAGGTCAGAAATGGAAAAAGATCTGGGGGTCAAAGTAGACCACAGATTGAACAATAGCTTGCAATGCCAGGCTATAGCAAACAAAGCGAGCAGAGTACTGTCTTGTATTAAAAAGGGAATGTATTGTAGAGACAAAGCTATAATTTTGCCACTTTTATAGATCACTAGTTCGGTCTCATCTGGAGTCTGCGGTGCAGTTTTGGTCAGCAATCCACTGAAAGGATGTCCTTGAGCTGGAAAGAGTCCAGAGAAAGGCAACTAAACTAATTAAGGGAATGGAGGACCAAAGCTATGAGGCAAGGTTACTAAATTTAAACATGTTCACACTAGAAGTGAGGAGACATGATTTTGATTTACAAGATGTTCAATGGTGATCGCAACATCAGCAATAAACGTTTTACAGTAAGCTCCATAACAAAGACTGGAGGCCACCATCTAAAATTGGTGGAGAAAAGATTTAACCACAAGGGGCGTAGGGGATTCTTCTCAGTTAGAGCGATTAAAGTCTGGAACTTGCTGCCACAAGCAGTGGTATCAACAGAGTATTGAATCATTCAAAAAGCATTTAGACAACCTCCTCAGAGACCGTAACATACAGGGGTACAGGTACCCTTAAAAACAAGATCACACGGGGACTCGTATACACGCATACACATGCACAATCACATACAGGCACGCAATAGGTTGAACTTGATGGACCTGTGTCTTTGTATTCAACCTCAAAAACTATGTTACTATGGTTTTTTAGGAATGCACTGAAATTTCGGGCACTAAAACATTTTGGCCGAAAATGGTACTTCGGAAAAAAATGTCGAAAGTACCGTCTTTCGGCCGAAATTGTGGTGCATCTCTTGTTTCTCTCCCCTCTGCTCGGCGCTGCTCTGTGACACAGAGCAGCGCCCAGCAGGGAAGAGCGAAATTGTCGGGGGAAGCGGTGCGGGGAGGGCTCCTCCTGCACCGCCTCCTGTGATAGATAAGGATGGAGAGCAGTGTGTCAACGCTGTCACAGGAGGCCGAGCTCTTTTTTTAAATTGGGTTTTGACCTGACAATTTTTATTTGTTTCGGTCAGAAGATTTTATTTCGGTGCACCTCCTAGTTTTTTTTTTTTTTTTTTAACAAGTAAAGATACACTGATCATATATCGTAAAAAGGTACTTGCAGCAACACATGAGTATTTATAAAATATGTAAAGTGAAACCTAATTATCTTGGTTATTTAACACAGCAGTGTTCAATAACCTAGATATTAAAGGAGAACTATCGGGTCAGTGTTTTTCCCCATAGTTCTCCTTAGGGTAACGGGAGGACACAAACTAGCGTCCTCCCGTCACCCTAAGCTCAGTATACCGCGAGCTACAGCTCGCAGTATACTGAGCCGCCCAGCTGCGGGAGTGACAGCTGGCTCTGCCTATCTAGAGGCAGAGCCAGCTGTACCCGCCCCCTCCCCCGTCAGTTCCGCCAGTCAGCGCTGGCAGATCGGAGCGGGCAGAGGGGAATCCAGCCCCTCCCCCTGTCACGGCAGAGAGCCGTGACAGGATCGAGAGGTGAGCGAACCTAGTATGTGTTCGCTCACCTCCCGATCTACTGAGCCGATCTGTGACAGTCTCATTGTCACAGGTCGGCTAGAAATCACTAGGTCGGAAATCACTCATCTCATAGTTCTCCTTTAAATGTCTGACACTGTCCTGCTAGTGAACGGGTATCTAGATTAAAAAGCTGTCATTAAGTGAGGGAACTGATTTTGCCACAAATTTCTAAAATATCAAGTGCTCTAAAAATATTTTTTTTAATGCTGACTGTAGTTGTCAATGAAAATATGTATAGCTAATTTTTGCCTTTTTTTTTAGTTTTGGATAAAATCACCTTTTTTTTTTGCAAGCTATTTTCCCCAAGGTAAATTTACCGTCACTTCCTGTCCTCGAACTGCAACAGGAAGTGAGTGGATATCTGCAAAAAAGGTGAATTTCTCTTTTAAACAGTTGTCCCTGTAACCGAATTCCACATTGGAATGGTTTTCCTGAACTTCTTTTCTACGGACAATTGTAGAAGTTTAGCTTTCCTATCGCTTTCTGCTTCTATAACAATGACCAGCAGGACAAATAGGGAGGGTGAATCTACTGATAGGGGACAGCAATAAAACCCTGACGGGTTATAATCATTCCTAATTTATCCAAAGCTATAAAGACCGTTTTGGTTACATGTACACTTAAAGTTGGATCATCAATCTTTGTGTTGACACAGTCATGGTTCTTTGCAGTAATATTCTTCGGCTTTGTTTTTCTTCTTCATTGTAGGCTGTTCTCATTCGACTTTTGCCAGTTTTGGAGAGATTATTGGAGAAAGTTACACATGCTCCCATTCAGGATCGTATGGACCAGATACTTTTGCTTCAGCTCATCCTGGGAAAATTTAATAAGAATTCTGCTGCCCTCTTGTCCAAGAACCAACAGTGTCTAGATATTTTTGTGAAAGTTTTGAAGACTCCTCAGATCATTCACGTTGGGATACCCTCCTGCCAAATTGTTGCACTGGGACAAGTATGCTTAGTGTGCTTCTTGATGCTAGTCTAAAAACCCATGTCATAATAACCAGGGTTTGGTTAACCTAGATGCATGGTCTATGTGTTGTGTTCAGTTTATTCAGTGCAAGTCCATTTATCAGTCAATGCTATGTTAACTTTTTTTTTTTTTGTAGATTAATAAAGTTTTCTATGATGCTATAGATGATGGATGTGTTCAGCAGAAGCTGCTTGGTGTCATGTTTGACTTACTTGTAGACAGTGAAAACACTGCATGTTCCCAAGCTGTAACCTGTGCTTTTAAATCAGTAAGTCTCAATTTTCATGTTTGTTTTACATTGTATCAAATCTGCACCCTTTGTTTTGTGCTTCTCTTTGTCTTTATAACTTAAAGAAAAGTTAAATATTTCTAACTATATAGAATACTTAAAGCAATCTGACTTATCTATTCTCCAGTAATTCAGTATAATGCAGGACCAAGCATATCTGTCTGCTCCTGCTTCAAGCTGTTTTTTGTTTTAATTGGTAAATGCATATAACACATCTTTTAAATGTAATACAAATATTTTATATTTCTGTGTTTGTTTTTTTTTTACATTTTAATACTTAATTAGTAGATCTAAGTAAATGTAATGATACAAACCTACTGTTGGATTGATTTTTGAAGTCCACATTTTTTAAAAATGTTTTCCTTGTAGATCTCTATAAATGCTGGACATATCAGTGAAGAACTTGAACCTCCTGGAAGAGACAAATGCATGTCAACTGTGCGCCAAACAAGGAGTAAAATGCAGACTCTTCAAAAGTACAGTGCAATTAACTATTCTAACAATTATAGTGGTAGTTCTGTGTTATATTACTAATAAAAACAAGTGTCAGAGAGTGACCTAACTATTACTTAGCGATGACGGCATATGGACATACAGATAAATCCACCAAGAGCATACTCTAACAAAAAGGAAGAAAAAAAGAAAGGGATTCACAGACCACCTCCTATTAATGCAAGTTCAGTATACAAAAGTGTGCGATATAAACATCCTATTGAAAAAACTCCCATAGTGAAAAATGCTAAAAACAATGACATAGTCCATGTTTTTGTGTTTGCAGACGATACTAAAATTGGGAGGGTAATAGACTCTGGCTTAGACATTATAACATTACAGGAGGACCTGAATAAAATAGGCGAGTGGGCAACTATATGGCAGATGAGGTTTAATGTTGAAAAATGTAAAGTAATGCATTTTGGGGTTAAAGACGGGCAAGCAGAATACATATTATTGGATTAATGGGTACTCCACTAGGGAAGTCAGAAATGAAAAAAGATTTGGGGTTCATAGTAGACTACAGATTGAATAATAGCTTGCAATGCCAGTCTGCGGCAAATAAAGCTAGAGTACTGACATGCATTAAAAAGGGAATGTTCTGTAGAGATGAAGCAATAATTTTGCCACTTTATAGATCACTGGTTCGGCCTCATCTTGTGTATGCGGTTCACTTTTGGTCACGAGTCCACAGAAAAGATGTCCTTGAACTAGAGAGAGTTCAGAGAAGGGCAACTAAACTAAATAAGGGGCTGGAGGACCAAAGACACTGTTGCTAAATTTAAACTTGTTCATGCTTGAAGTGAGGCGATTTAAGAGGGGACATGATTTTGATGTTCAAAATGTTTAGTGGTAATGGCAACATCGGCAATAAACTTTTTACAGTAAACTCCATAACAAAGACTAGAGGCCACCACCTAATTGGTGGAGAAAAGATTAAACCACAAAGGGCGTAGGGGATTCTTTTCAGAGCGCTTACATTTTGAAACTCGTTGCCAGAAGCAGTGGTATCAGCAGAGAGTATTGAATCATTCAAAAAGCATTTAGATAGTTACATATATAGTTACATAGTTAGGTTGAAAAAAAGACACAAGTCCATCGAGTTCAACCTATAGAGATATGGAGGAAGAAAAGCCTAAACAGAACGCTATGCCCCCGGGTACCCCCTGTTGATCCAGAGGAAGGCAAAAAAACCCCCTATAAAGCATGGTTCAAGATACCTTCCTCAGAGACCATAACCTACAGGGGTACAGGTACTCTTAAAAACTAGACCACACAGGGACTTGTGTACACACATGCACACACACATGCACACACACATGCACACACACATGCACACACACATGCACACACACATGCACACACACATGCACACACACATGCACACACACATGCACACACACATGCACACACACATGCACACACACATGCACACACACATGCACACACACACATGCACACACACACACACATGCACAATCACACACAGACACAAAGGTTGAACTCGATAGACCTGTGTCTTTATTCAACCTCAAATAATATCTAACTTTGTCAGAGAGCCAGAGATGTTCCTGCAAACTTGAAAATCTTGCAAGAGTATACTGTATGGCTGGGAGCGCAGCACCACACAAGTGAGAGCTTGTGAAGGACTCTAACCTTTATAATATACAGCAGGCTCAAACACTTGTTGAGATACACTGAAGTGCAATGCTCATGATGTGCAGCTTATATGTAGTCTCTGATTTAAACATTGTATTCCACCATCCTATTCCTGAAGCCAAATCATCCACTGCACAAACTCACAAGTCTGAAGTGGGCACTCTTCAATCATGCTGCCAAGTTATAAATGGCTCAGGCTGCACTCGCATCAAAGTGCATGTTCAGTTCAGCAAACGGCTTCACTGCACATTGGTGAAATCATGAAGCCTAGTGGGAGAGCGCAGGGTTGAAGGTGGCAGAGCGCAGGGTTGGTCCACCAAGTACATTTTGAAATCTGTAGAAATATGATTTTTATGTCATTCTTTTATCTTGAAGCATAGGGTGGAAGAAGTTGAAAAGAGAAAATGGATTCTGTTCTTGCATAAAATTCAAAAATGTGTTTAATTTCAAAGTTACAAATGATTACAAGATATGGTATATCTTACAGCATGAGTCTATAAGATGCCTAAGAAACCTGTCTTTAGTTTGTAAGTAAAAAATAGCCCTTAACACGTGTCTCTGTGTCTTCTGAGAGTCAATGTGGGTTTCTGTGTGTCCTTTTGAAGGACCATCCCCCATCCTTCTATCCATGTTACTTTAAAATAAACTATGAGACATTTACCTTGAAAGTCATTCACATTAGCATAAGGGAGTTCCATTTGCTTTGTCCTGACTAATGTATATTCTTTCAAATATTCCTTGCATCCTTCCACCCCATTTAAGAAATTTCTAACAGCTGTTTAAACTATACTTAGGGTCTGCCTGACGTGCTTACTGATTGATTACCATATGTTACTCAAAAATCAGTAATACAGTTAAACTGCATTTCCAAACTTGGATAGATTAAAATATAGAAAATCATTCATCATTTAGGTTTACGTACCTACATATTTCCGTATATGATTATTATGGTTTTGACAAAATCCAACAGCAGGTAATACCCTGCTTCACCCCTCTAGCCATCACCCCCTTGCCACCATACAAGGTATTCCTCTTGGGCAATTTCTGAGGTTACGAATCAAGAATTGACATAGATTTCAGCAAAAGGGTTATCTGCACAGGATGCTGAGGATGAGCAAATACAAGGCCCTGCATGAAATTGATGTAGGCCTTGTAAAAGGGAACTTCGAAGAATAGAGCCAATATTAGAACAACATTTACGCGTATCGTAATGCCATATGGGGCACTTTGGGATAAGGTGTACAATATGTTGCAGAGAATTTGGTATAGTCTTATGATAAATCCCCAGGTGGCTAACATATGAAAGCCAACTTAGTGTGATCTGAACGTACTCTAATAGAGAAACATGGTTGTTTAGAAATATCTCAGTAGGTATAAGTGTGGGAATTGTGGAATATGTCCTTATGTTGAGAAATCTAAAACGTTTACCAATGTTGATTGCTCACCGAGGTTCAACATTAGGACATTCAATCTCCTGCCTTACAAGAAGGGATTTATAAGATCAGTTGTTCTTGTGGAATGATGTATGTTGGCAAAACTAAGTGTGAACTTAGTTAGCAATGGCAAACATTTGGGAGATGTATCCACAAAGCCGACCAGCATTTTGAGCAGTTCCATAGTTCCAAATGATGTGGGTTAAAAGTGAATGAAATTTACCATTTAAAATGGTCTCTATGCCGTGGTGATTTTGATAGAGAATTATTGAAAAAGGACGCTGTATATATAGTTACTGTGAAGGACTGAACCGTCACTGGTGCTGTTGGAGGAGCCTGGGGGCTAGCCTCCTTCCTACTGACTATGGACCCAGAACTATGGAGACCCCCCTCGGACCTCTTGGGGTTACAATGAACCATTCTACCAGCTTTATGTGTGGAGGGTTGTACTATACATTTTCCCTGGCATTACATTGGGATGACCCTGTGTGTATTATAGGTACAGGCTGTGAATCCAGGAGCACTGAAGGGGGATAATTCTGGACATTGAACAGTTACAGTTTATTGGTCCCTTTGTTGTATTGTGTTGATGGGATTAGGATAGCTGATTCTAGGAGTAGCTGACTCCGGGTGTAGATGAGTAGATCATCCTATGATACACTCAGGAGATAATCCCATCACATGTGTCTCCTCCCTCCCTAGTCATTCATTAAGGCATCGGGGAGGGGATGTCTGTTTGCATGCTGTTTGATTGCGTTATGTGTTTAGACTTCTTGAACTGTATATATACTGAGCTGGTCTTCAATAAAGCAGATCCCTGTTGGAACTTACATACAGCCTGCCTGGTGTTTGTTCTGAGATATCACAACTGGATTCGAACGGCACATAGCTGTAGTTCGAATCCCGGATTATCGGACGATCGAAGAATCAGACGTTGCGGTCTGACATCTGATCCAATAGCAGCAGAGGAGTGGCGGGAGAGTGGAACCGAGTGAGCAGGAGCTTGTTACAGTTACATAGTTACAAAGTATTTTGGGTTGAATAAAGACATACTTCCAAGTCCAACCCATATAGGTCCACGCATCATCTCATTCTTAGGGATACTGGTATCCCTGGATATAGCACACCACCTCATCTATGCCCATAGCCCTCAGCCCTCAGCTGTAGATTTATCTCTTATAAACTATGACTCCAAAAGGTCTCAATATGAGATCATTTGGTCAAGCATTTCTGTAAATATTTACAGAATGCATCTAGTATGCATTGTAACTAAATGACTAGAAAGTTTGTTACTGGTGTAGTGAATTATGACACCACTATGGCAGATTGTGTTCAGTCATGCGTTTATCTTCTTTTGCCCCATTTTGTGTTTTTGATTAATTATCATATTTGGTCCAATGTCTGCTTTGATGTTCCACTCTGTTATTGCAAAACAAACAAAAAGGAGAGCGCCTTCTCTTCGTGAAGTAAAGTACAATCCTGGCCAAAAGTTTTGAGAATGACGCAAATATACATTTTTAGCAGTCTGCTGCTGCTGTGTTTTAAGATTTTCGTGTCAAATGTTACTATGGTATACCGAATTATAATTACAAGCATTTCCTAAGTGTCAAAGGCTTTTATTGACAATTACATTAAGTGTGTGCAAAGAATCAATATTTGCAGTGTTGATTCTTCTTATTCAAGACCTCTGCAATTCGCCCTGGCATGCTGCCAATCAACTTCTGGGCCACATCCTGACTGATGGCAGCCCATTCTTGCGTCATTAATGCTTGGCGTTTGTCAGAATTTGTTGGGTTTTTTTTTGTTCACCCGCCTCTTGAGGATTGACCAAGTTTTCAATGGGATTAAGGTCTGGGGAGTTTCCTAGCCATGGACCCAAATTTTCAATGTTTTATTCCCCGAGCCACTTATCACTTTTGCCTTGTGGCAAGGTGCTCCATCATGCTAGAAAAGGCATTGTTCGTCACCAAACTATTCTTGAATGGTTGGGAGAAGTTGCTCTTGGAGGATGTTTTTGTACCATTCTTCATGGCTGCGTTCTTAGGCAAAATTGTGAGTGAGCCCACTCCCTTGGCTGAGAAGCAACCCCACACATGAATGGTCTCAGGATGCTTTCCTGTACACAGGACTGATGGTAGCGCTCACCTTTTCTTCTCCGGACAAAGTATTTTCCGGATATCCCAAATAATTAGAAAGGGGATTCATCAGAGAAAATGACTTTACCCCAGTCCTCAGCAGTCCAATCCCTGTACCTTTTGCAGAATATCAGTCTGTCCCCGATGGTTTTCCTGGAGAGAAGTGGCTTATTTGCTGCCCTTCTTGACACAAGGCCATCCTCCAAAAGTCTTCGCCTCACTGTGCGTGCAGATGCACACTTGCCTGCTGCCATGCCCGAGCTAGTTCTGCACTGGTAGTGCCCCGATGCCGCAGCTGAATCAACTTTAGGAGACGGCCCTGGCGCTTTCTTGGGTGCCCTGAAGCCTTCTTCACAACAATTGAACCCCTCTCCTTGAAGTTATTGATGATCCGATAAATGGTTGATTTAGGTGCAATCTTAGTAGCAGCAATATCCTTGCCTGTGATTCCCTTTTTGTGCAAAGCAATGATGACTGCACATGTTTCCTTGAAGGTAACCATGGTTAACAGAGGAAGAACAATGATTTCAAGTACCACCCTCCTTTTTAAAGCTTCAGTCTGTTATTCAAACTCAATCAGAATGACAGAGTGGTCTCCAGCCTTGTCCTCGTCAACACTGACACCTGTGTTACCGAGAGAATCACTGACATGATGTCAGCTGGTCCTTTTGTGGCAGGGCTGGAATGCAGTGGAAATGTTTTTGGGGGGATTAAGTTCATTTTCATGGCAAAGAGGGACTTTGCATTTGATCTGATCACTCTTTATAACATTCTGGAGTATATGCAAATTGCCATCATACAAACTGAAGCAGCAGACTTTGAAAATGAATATTATTTGTGTAATTCTCAACTTTTGGCCATGACTGTACTGTGCAAAAGTTTTAGACGGGTGTGAAAAAATGCTGTAAAGTGTTATTAGTATATTTCTATCAATTAAAAAAATGGAAAGTAAATGAACAAAAGAAAAATCAAATATTTGGTGTGGCCACCCTTTGCCTTCAAAACAGCATCATTTCTTCTAGGTACACTTTTACACAGTTTGTGAAGGAATTTGGCAGGGAAGTTGTTTCAAACATCCTGGAGAACTAACCACAGATCTTCTGTGGATGTAGGCTGCCTCAGATCTGTCTGTCTCTTCATGTAATCCAGACAGACTCGACGTTGAGAACAGGGCTCTGTGGGGGGCCAAACCATCACTTCCAGAACTCCTTGTTCTTCACGCTGAAGATCTGACACTACATGACATGACATTGACTGACTCTAGTTTGAGGTTGTTGTCCTGCTTCAGAATAAATTTGGGGCCAATTACAAGCCTCCCTGATGGTATGGCATGATGGATAAGTATCTGCTTGTATTTCTCAGCATTGAGGACACCATTGATCCTGACCAAATCTCCATTTGCAGAAATGCAGCCCCAAACTTGCAAGGAACCTCCACCATGCTTCACTGCTGCCTGCAGTCGCTCGTTATTGTACCGCTCTACCCATTCGTCGAACAACCTCCTGCTACAACCAGATATTTCAAATTTTAACTCTTCAGTCCAGAGCACCTGCTACTATTTTTCTGCACCCCAGTTCCTATGTTTTTGTGCATAGTTGAGTCACTTATCCTTGTTTCCCCGTCGGAGGTAAGGCATTTTAGCCACAATTCTTCCATGAAGACCACTTCTGGCCAGACTTCTCTGGACAGTAGAGTGGTGAACCTGGGTCCTACTGGTTTCCACCAATTCGGTGCTGATGGCACTGCTGGATATCTTCCAATGTCAAGGGAAGTAACCACAACGTGTCTCATCTGCTGCATTAAGTTTCCTTGGCTGACCACTCAACGTTGCCCGTTTGTGTTTCAAATGGAGCTTGAACAGCACATCTTGAAACCCCAGTCTGCTTTGAAATCTTTGCCTGGGAGAGACCTTGCTGATGCATTACAACTACGTTGTGTCTTGTTGCTGTGCTCAGTCTTGCCATGGTGTATGCCCTGTGGCATGAAACTGTTCTACAACCTCACCTTAGTAGCAAAGTTTGGCTGTTCCTCACCCAGTTTTAAGCCTCCTACACAGCTGTTTCTGAAATTGCTGATCATTAGCACCTGCTTGGTATAATTGGTTAATAATACACCTGACTTTAATCTTACAAAATCTCTGACTTTGTGCAAGTGTAAGAATTGATGCTGGTTTGAATACGAAGGGTACTGCTCTGGAACACACCGCTTTTGGTGTGGACAGGGCCTGAGTGCTTGAATCAGCCTTTACCTGATGAACTTTATGCTCAACATCTGTCCTAAACAATGTCACTACATCAGTTCTCACAGCCTCTTAACTTATGGAGAAAATCCAGTAATTGGCTATTAACAATATTTCTTTTAAATCGGAAGGGTCCTGGGCTAACTAATAATGTTTTCCCTGATAGACCTTCTATCTTGCTGATAATGACCCTAGCAAAGATAGACACTCCATAGCCAAAGCATAAATGTCTGTGAGATTTGGCTTCAAATGGTAGTGCATTAAAGATGTAGTCCGCTTGCAAACATCATCTTTTTAGGTCTTCCTGCCCACTTTTTTTTTAAAGGTTCACATTTTTCAGCAAAATGTAATTTTTACAGTGTTTCACTGACTCAAGGTGGTTGTGTACCCTCACCGCCTAGCTGTTCTCATCAGAACTGCTAGAGCAATCTATTTGGGTGTTCAAGTTTCAAATTACCTGGGAAACTTCTTTAAATGAAACATTGAACCCCTTATTTCTGTAGTGAAATATAAAAAGCAGGTCTGATCTAAATTATCTTCAGGAGTAATGGGTAGAATTAGCCTCATCAAAATTATACACCTTCCCAAAATCCTTTTATATTTTATGGCACTTGCCATTTACATTACCCTCAAATATTTTAAAATTCTTGATGCAGTCTTTAAACATGTTGTTTAGGGCAAAAGTAGACTTAAATAAAGACCCCCAATTTGGATGAATGCCCTGGTCCCTGAGTTTCACTCTATACCTAATTCTATAAGCTGGTTCAGATTGGGGGTGTGCTGCTTGGGTCATATTAAAAATGGAGTGGTACATTCCTTCTCTAGCTTACAAGCAGAATTTCACTCACCTAATCATATGCTTCTCTGGTATTTTCAATTGAGACATGCAGGGCAGGCCTGTCTTCCCTTCCCCCATGCTACCTGATAATCCCATCTTTGGTTTTTGACCACATCCAACTCCTCCAAATTGATTTCTATGCTGTATCATCAATTACAGACTCTTGATGCTATACGAGGGGCTCAGGAGAAAAAGGTAACCGGGAATACGATTTAGGTCCCCTAGATGACGATGACTGGGATCTAGAGATTCTCTGACAAGCTTACACATCTTTACATTTTACACTGCACTTATCCCACTCCTATTCATTTGCCCAAAATAAAACTTGCTCATACTCATTTGTTCCCAAAATGCCATCACCTAATTTGGGTAGGCCCTATTATCCAGGATTAATGGAGGTAAGTTCTTAAGTTTTTAAAGATTAATTGAACCCTCAAACAGGAGATTGATTAATCTTTAAAGTATTTGGTACAGGAGACCCATGAGCATTATATATGCATTTATACAGTAAGGCACACATTACAGTATTGTTTAAGTTACAAAATCTGAGGGTTTAATGTCACTTTAAGTTCCTACATAGTGATATAGGCTCGCCAGTGACTCTGGATCTCAAAACTGATCATGTGTATGAAGGAAACTGTCTATGGTTAGCCCTGAATGACGGCCATATTTGGTGATCACTGTTGGATGGATCTTCGGTCCCCCGCTCTTTCCACCGCTGACACCTTGGGTTTCTCAGGCATCCTCTTGAGTCATAGACAGGTTCACTTTCATTTATCAAGACAATGTGAAGGTGCATTCTACAATATTTGTTTTTCTACTGGTCTAGGAAGCAAAAGATTGGCACACAGGAAGAAGAAAATGTGAACTGGCCCAGAACCACTATTGTTCTGGAGCTGTTGCAGCACAAGAAGAAACTAAAGGAACCACAGCTATTGGTACCCACCCTCTTTTACTTGCTCTCGAGGTATTCTTCTATTATAAAATAATACTCTTAACCATAATCGCCGTTTGCTTTTTTTGGACAAAAAACATATCCTGAAATTTGCTTTGTCACTTTAGGTGTCTTGAGTCTTCAAATCTTAAGCAGGAAAACTTTGAGTACATCAAACAATTGATCCTCAGCTGCCTGCACAACATCTGTCAAAAAATGTTATCTGATAATAAGACAAATGCAAAAGGTACCATGTTTACACTGTGTTTTCTCTGCTTATTTGTAAATTGTGACAGTCATTTAGGTAGCTGCTTTAATTTCTATTTTCCAGATGTCCTGGATGAGGAAAAGTTTAGTGTGGAGCTGATTGTCCAGTGTGTAAGGACCTCTGAGATGCCCCAAACCCATCATCATGCTTTACTTCTCTTGGGAACTGCTGCTGGAATCTTCCCAGTAAGAAACGATTGAATGGATGATCATATTACTGTTTCACACTGCCTATGCTATGAATTAGTCCAAGTTCAATTTTATCTTTCAGAACTAACATTTTAGTTGTGGGCCCCTTTGTGATTTAGTCAGAGAATAGTAAAAGGTTTATTCTGATGTCAAATGTTTCAGCTTGTATATACTATTGTATGCGTACTTTGTTACTGCATGCACAAACTGGTTAAGATAACTTTAAATTGCTAACCTGTAATAATTGTCCAATTGGTGTGTAGGTCAACCTATTATACTAACCAAAATGTTACTTTTCTTTTAAAATGCTTTCTTTTTTTTTTTTTTTTAGGATAAAGTACTACACAACATCATGCCCATCTTCACCTTCATGGGTGCCAGCGTCATGCGTTTAGATGACAGCTACAGTTTACAAGTTATCAGTAAGACTGTGCAGATTGTGATCCCCTCACTTATACAGGTATTTTCACAAGTAAATATAAAGGTATCAATAGTGTTCTATGCAGTGTTAACATTATTTGTATTTTCCGTTTCTTCAAATTTTGAAATTGTGCTGGCATTCTCAAATTGGTTTATGGCTTATTATATAGGCAGGAGAGGAATCATCTAAGGAGACCAGTGATGATGTGGAAAAAGTGGTTGAGAAGATTATACATGTATTTGTAGATGCCCTGCCTCATGTCCCGGAACACAGACGTTTGCCCATTCTGTCACAGCTTCTGGAAATTGTAGGAGCCGGGCGCTTTCTCTGGGTACTATTGGTTCTTTTTTTTGAACAGCACGTGTCCAAGACAATGGAAATAAATGGAGAAAAGGTAAGAACTGGATATTGGAATATAGAATGCTTTAAAGTGTCTCTGTGGTCACTCTAAGTTGTGAATTGAATATAATTGGTAGTAGTGGTGTTGAACCATATTCAAATGCAAAAATTAAAGTAAACTCACTTTCCATGAGCCCAGGGTGTCAATGAGCCACTTCCTTGGGGGTGCTTCATCAAACTACTTTGAGCTCCCTGGAGAATGACAGGAAATTGAATCACATTACATGGCACCATTCCCTGCAGCACTCAGGGCCTGCCCACTGCCGGAAACTGGACTCATTGCATCAGGTGGCTGGACTGAAGAAGGGAAAAAAAGTATGTGCCAAATTAAGGGGAAAAAAAATAAAAGCAGGTAGAGTGCAGGGGAGCTTGGCTTTGAAGCTGAACTCTGGGCAGAAAAATATTTCTCAAAAGCCACAAAGGATAGCCTCAGTATTTCAACTTCAAACACCAAATGCCTTTTTGAAAGCCCAGTGATTACCTTGTAAAAGTAGGAGGGATATCATCACTATGTATCCCTGTTTAACTTTCTTTTTGGTAGATCTAAAAACAATACAGAGTGCCTTTCCCTTGTGTAGTATTTCTTTGTCAAGTAAAAATATATTGATCATAAAACATACTCGCAAGCGTATGAAGATATGGGCTAAACTCTGATTGCATGGACGTTCCCAAAAAGGTTAATCCGAAAAAAGATCCGCACCACCTGGGAGCATCTGTGTAATTCGGCTGCAGATAAACCATTCAGTGCCTCAGCCAGCAATCGATTGATGCGTTTCTGGGGCCATACCCCCTTTATCAAAGCCTATCAGCATCCACAAGTGGCATCCTATAAAAGCTCCATACCAGCCAATCACAGTGAAGCACTTTTGGTGCTTTAGTAATGATGCTGATTGAGTAGCTGATACCACTGCTTCTGGCAACGAGTTCCAAAATGTAATCGCCTCTCTTCCAGCGTGAACAAGTTTAGATTTAGCAACCTTGTCGCATAGCTTTGGTCCTTTAGCCCCTTAATGAGTTTTGTTGCCCTTCTCTGGACTCTCTCTAGCTCAAGGACATCCTTTCTGTGGATTGATGACCAGAATTGAACCGCATAAACTGAACCAGTAATCTATAAAGTGAAAAAAATATTGCTTTCTCATTCCCTTTTTAATGCATGACAGCACTCTGCTAGCTTTGTTTGCCGCAGCCTGATATTGCATGCTATTATTCATTCTGTAGTCGACTATGACCCCCAAATCTTATTACATTTCTGACTTCACTAATGGAGTACCCATTAATGTGTATTTCGCTTGCCTATTTTTAACCCCAAAATGCAATACCTTACATTTTTCAACATTAAAGCTCATCTGCCGTGTAGTTGCCCACTCCCCTATTTTATCCAGGTCCTACTGTAATGTTATAATGTCTAAGCTTGTGTCTATTACTCGCCCAATTTTAGTATCATCTGCAAACACAGAAACGTGGCTATTAGCACCCTCCCCAATACCATTAATAAACAGGTTAAACAGTATGGGGCCTTGCACAGAACCCTAAGGCACGCCACTCTCGACCTTAGACCAATTTGAAATAGAGCCATTTACAGATACTCTCGGGACACGTTTCTGTAGCCAGTTCTCTATCCATGTACACACCATTTCATCTATACCCATAGATTGCATCTTGTGTATTGAGTGTTTATGTGGTACAGTGTCAAATGCTTTGGCAAAATCCAAGTACACCACATCCAACGGACTTCCTCTATCCAAATCTCTACTCGCTTCTATAGAATGTTAGTAGGTTGGTCTGACAAGAACGTTCCCTCATAAATCAATGCTGATTATCACTTCTTATACCATTGCCATGAACAAAATCCACTATATAGTAATTTATCATTCCCTCAAACAGTTTGCATACTATTAATGTTAGACTGACTGGTCTGTAGTTCCCCGGTTGTCATTTTGAAGCTTTTTTTGAATATTGGTATTACCGTAGCTTTGTAGCTTTATGCCAATCACTTTATACCCTTCCAGTCAGTATGGAGTCCTTGAAAATTAGGAATAATGGTCTCGCTATAACCTGGCTGAACTCTTTAAGTTCCCTAGGGTGCAGGTTATCTGGTCCAAACTATTTATTTGCATTAAGTTTTTCAAGTTTTTGTTGAACCCTGGCTACCGTCAACCACTGCGATATCTTGCGCACTGAGCTACTCACATTAAACCCGTCTTTTTCATGAGTGTATACTTAAGAGAAAAATGTATTTAATACCTGAGCCTTATCCCTGTCGTTTGTGATCTCCCATTCTCATCTTTTATTGGGCCCAACTACTCTTTCCTTTTTTACTATTTATATATTGTAATAATTTTTTGGGGTCCTTCTTACTGCCTGTGGCAACATGTTTTTCGTAATCTATTTTAGCTGCCCAGATTTCACGTTTACATCTCTTGCATTCCTTGTAGCTCTGGAATGCCAATGCAGTCCCCTCCATCTTATATTTTTTTAAATGCCAACTTCTTTTCTTTGTGTTGTCTTACCATTTTATTTAGCCATGCAGGCTTAGCTCTCGATCTTTTATTTTTGTTACCCAATGGAATGCACTTGGTAATAGCATTGTGCATTGTATTCTTAAAACAATCCCACTTCTCATCAGTGTTCATTGTTAGAAATAAGTTGTCCCATTCAGTGTCATACACTAGATAAATAACCCACTTTTGCATTGCATGACCATGACAAATGTTTAAAATGCATGATCAACTCAGTTTTAATTGAAAACACAGGACCTAGTCATGCATTACAATAGTGTGGTGAAAATCACTCACTTGTATCGGTGCTAAATGTATTAATACTATATTGACTAGATTGGTGCTGGTCTGCTAATAAAACATTTTGTTAAAAGCTCATGACCTGTTCTTGTGTCACAATAATGCAATAAAAATCATTCACTTGTAACCTTGATATATATAGATATAAGATATCTATATATATCTACTGTCTGTGTGTGTGTGTGTGTATGTATATATGTACAGTGGGGCAAAAAAGTATTTAGTCAGCCAAAATCCAACTAGAATAGGGTCCTATTGTAGTACTCTCAAGTGTTTTTGAGTGCTTTCTGAACATCCAGAGTTTTTAACAAACACTAGAGTACTACAAGAGGACCCTAGTCTAGATGGATCTCTGCCACAACAGCCAAAAATCATCTTCAGAGAACCTAAGGATTTACATAGCTTACTTGCACCCAGTAAAGTGATATCTAATCAAATCAACATGCGTAAAGGTCCGTTTGGTCAGATGGGATCATATAGTTGCAACATTCATAACTGTGGTGCATGTAGTTTTATGTGGCATAGAAAAATGAAGTAATAACAGGAAAACCTTCATCATCAAACAGTTCATCAATTGTGGTTCCCAATTTGTCATATATGAAATACTTCGTCAATGTGGCAAATTGTATGTGGGCAGAACTTCCAAAATGTTACTAGTAAGATGTGGTGAACATAATAGGAATATCATCAATAAGGGAGAGATTCACTCTACCTAGACACTTCCTGGAATTTCACAATGCTAATCCTGCAGCCATGAAAGTTTTTGGCATACAGATGATTGCAGTCAATGTGGGTGAAGGTACCAGATATAAAAAGCTGTGCGTTAGGGAGACATACCGGATCTTTTCTGTAAATAGTCTAGCTTTGGGGGGGGGGGGGTT